AATTAACTACAAAGGAATTTTATGACAGACTGTTAGGAGAATTACCAATGAGATCTTGGGAGTTAAAGGGTTAAGTGCATGACCTTGGTGTTAAAATGGCTCAAATTTAAGACAGATTAGTTAGAAAAATATTTTATATGTTCTTGTTGTGTTTTGTAACTTTCCTGCTTCATGTACGCTTAAACTAGTTTTTTTCCCTTGAATTTGTTAATATTAACATGACTGATTACTTAATGAAAGCTGACCCCTTTGCAGCAAATTTACATTGAAAAAACTATGAGAATACAAAATTATTTATATCTGTTTTGTTTCTGTCTATTTTCAATTGGAAAACAGTAATGTGCTATATCTTGACTGTTGCACTGTATTTTAAGACTGACAGGAATCAAAGTTTTTTCCACTGTTGCAATAATTTTTTTGGCAAGCAGTTTTGCTTTTGTGGAAAAATTATTATGAAAGTTATTTCTACATATGAAATATAGGTTTAGCTTGGTATTCAAGTGTTATATACATCGTAGACAAGAAATAACATCACCAAAACAAACCACCCCTCCCTTCCCCTCCAAAAAATATAATGAATAGTGTTTTTATTAGCTCCAAAAGTCACCCAATAACAAGGAAGACAAAACTTTTGCTGATTCTGATAAACTCCAAAGAACTCATGGTAAATGCAGGTTTTTTTCCCCAAAATAGTCAGACCAATGAATAAGTTCTCTAAAAGTATTTTAGTATGAGCAGGGAGCAAATTTCAATGTTAAATTAAATTTAAACCAAAACTAAGTCTTCTCAGTGCCAATAATAAGAGTTTACAAACTTTATACTGTTTCCACATCGTTATAAAGTTTCTGACTGAGGGCATACATGATAGCTCAAGCATAAGATGTTTGAAAAAATTGGGTGAAATAAGCAATGTTCATATTGCCTGACTGACAACTGTTTACTACACCACATGCTCATGAAATGTGACAAAGGAAGATGCAAAGCTTACTCTCTATTAATCTTTCCAGATTTGAAGTTAATAAATTAATCATTTATTCAAATATGATGTCCATTTGCCAGAGGCAAACAAAAAAATTCACGTGTGTTGCTCAAAGACTGTTTAAATCAATTGTGATTTGGTTTGTGTATGTCACAATTTCAGAACAGCGTGTAATGAAATTTGGATCTGTGCAATGACTTATTAAGTCAACATCACATTCTTTTCCTCGACCAGTCACTAAACATGATTCCTGGAACAAAAAAGTAATTACTTTTGAAGTAAGGGTTAAGCTTACCAACGCAATAATAGAGCCTATGAATTCTTGTTTCAGTAGAGGAAAGCCAAAATGGAGGACTTTATAGCCTATGTGTATGCTCTGTTGGAATGTATGAGATGAAAGGGAGAGAGGGAAGGGACAGAAAAATAATTCAACCGTGATATTTAGGGAGAAAACAGTGGACGAATTTTAACCATTAGGAGAAGGTTTTAAACAGTAATCGTTAAACAAAATTGGATAAGATGTGTCAAAACTATAGTATGTTTCAGTGATAAGCGAATTACAAAGTACCATTTCAACAAGTGTCTACCAAATAGAATCGAAACGATACTCTTTCTAGCAACTTTGAGCTTGGCGCGAATAAACACTAGGTTGAGTCAATCTTGTGTACCGGTTAAAATGGTAGTCGCAGTTTGTATACAGATAGGAGTGGATCAAGGATACTCCCTAATGCGTCGCAATTATTTAGAATCAAATTGTTACCGGTACTCAGAAAAATTCCGCTTCAGAGACAGATGTGAACGCGTCTTGTTTCTCCGCAATGGAAAAGGCACGGTCTATCCTCAAATCCCTTGCCTTCTACAAAATTGAATGAATGTTTACAGTTTTCTAGTTGTTTGTTTATGCATTAGACTGAAGTTCTCTGCGTGTGCAAGCGTTTTTTGTTTTTATTTGTTGTTGTTTTTTTTTTTTACGCTAAGTTAAGGCACGCGCTTGGACAAAGGTCAAGACCGACGAAGAAAAGAAAACCTGCATGCGCGTGCAGCGCGTGTCATACACTGCATACTGCGTCATATGATTTAACCAATAGGAATACTGCAAACCGCGCCACGCCAATTAGTATCACTATGGAAACACCATTGATAACGCATCGTGATAACTGCTCTTTTAAGCTGGAGTTCTGTAGATTTACTGTGTCGACGCTAGGCGTGTTGTATTTCTTGTGACAAGAGCGCAACTCAAAAAAGAGTCAAACTAACAAGATTCCCTTCTAAAGCATGGAATAATAAGAAGTTGCACCAATGGGGATTCTCAACGGATGTGAAACTACAATGGAAGGTGGATATGAGGTAACCGAAGCTTAGATAGATTGCATAGCTAATATCACAATGAGAGCCTTTGTTTTCTTGTGCCTGTTTCATTAGGATTCTTGCGAGACCGATCGATTAGATCTTCATGGATTGAATTCCATCTTGCAGTTCGCCTAATGCCAGGACTCCACTCCTTGATTCCGTCCTTGCTTAAACCAGGATTAGTTTAGACTTAGTAAGATGTAGGAATGAAGGTACGTTTAGTTAGAAAAAATCGCAAAATGTTTGCAACTTGTTTCCCAAGAGGGGTAGGCTAGATGTGAAAATGTTCCCAACTGTGACGTTGTTTAACACATAAGAGTTTGTAAATTTTGATTGGCTTTGTTCGGAATTTAGTTCACATCTGCCAATTGTGAAGCGCTAGCAAAATGATTTCCCAATGACTTCGCTTTTGTGCACGAGATACAAATGTATAAATGATCCGCGGATGGAAGCTCTTAATAGAATCTGTTAGAATTTTACTAACTTTCATGTGCGCGACTTTAAACTTCACGTGCGATTGATCGATATTTCGCGTACGACCGCTGTTGTGGCGCAATGAAAATTTCAAGCAGGTTGATACGAGGTCGACCGTTTGTGCCCTAGTTAGCTCTTACCGACATTTGTCCCCAGTTCCAGTAGATCGTTGGATGATTTTTGCGCCCCCCCGTTGTTTCTCAGTTAATATTACAATCAAATTGTACCAATTATCTGCAGAGATGTTCAAAAGTTTTCGAAGCGCATTTAAGTTGGTGTTTGTTTAGCCGTTTATAGTAGTTCCGATTGTCGCGGCTTCCGCCTGTTTATGCAATTAGATTCGGCGACTTGAACACAATGTTCATCCGTCGTCGATGAGACTTCTTGAGATTGAAGATTTAAATACATATAAAAATTATTTGATAACTATTAAACGCAAATAAATGCAAATTAAACCTTATTATGGGATTTAAAACTTAACACTGGTTTCTTAAGACTGAAGAAAACTTTAACGAGTGAATCGTTAATTTCCAATTCAATTGCATAGTTGTAAGGGTGTCACGATAAATGTTTACTCTTTAAGTTCGACTTGCAACAAGCTGCAACGTAGTAGATTGAGAACTGCATATCACTGCGAGAGGTCTGTGGTTTGGTTTAAGATAAATAAAGATTCTTAACGAATCTTTGATGTTCCCGAGTTGTCGAGCTTTAAGACTGTTATTGATGAAGATATTTGGAATTTAATTTACTTATTACTTTCATGTGAAGTGGACTACGCAAATGTGAAATATTTACTAGCGTAACAGCTCCTCAGTACATACACAATGCAAAAAGATCAACAAATTGATATTCGTCTGGATTGTGCATTTACTTGACTCCTTTGGTCGGCCTATTTTCTACCCTTTTCAATCAAACTTTCGATCATTTAATGGCCTCACTTCTACAGAGTTCTCTGCGGCCCAGCGGAAAAGCCTCTGTTGTGACGCGGAATCGAAAGGTCTGAGATTCGATTCTTCGTGGAGACTCGGATTTTTTCCTCGTGACAACACCAATACATCTTTCTTTAATCTTTCGATCTGCTTCTACTACTTGATCTGCCGCATGATGGTGAGAGATTAGTTTACATAGCCTCTCTTGAGACCTTTCTGGAAGAACCATCTAGTTACAAAGCCTTTTTTTCATTCATTTCCTTTTCATATGGGATCTACTAAAACTTAAGTTCGTACAAACCACTTCGTGGAAAACCTGAAACGATGTGCACTATTTTCTTCCACCGCTACGAGCCTACCTTTCTTGAAGAGTGGCGCCGCTGAAAAAATATGCCCTAGCCTACCATAGGCATATTCTGAAAAAAAAAACGACAGCTTTGTGCCAAGCGCATGACAAACAGTCGATATTTCCCTATGGATCAACTTTTGTGAAGATTTAGTCTCTAATTTCTTGCACCTCACGCACTCGCGATGTCTATTATTCTTCTTTATCACTTCTCGTTTTCCATTTACTCCGTTGGAATCTCTCCATTGTTTAGTGTTTAAGTTATTTTTTCCGTCTCTTCATCGTGAGCTCCAGCTCAGTATTGTTGCATCTGTACTCAATAACACGATAATCTGAGCAGAAGTGCCGCTGGGGTTATGACGATCTTTGCGGGAAATTTTGTTTGTGTCTTTCTAAAAAAGATTTCGACCCAGGAGTTTATTTTTCAAACACGTCGGAGTATAACGAGCACGACTGGGACCCAACAGGCCACTGCAAAGCCTTACTAATTGACACGCAGACTGTTATAGTACAGGGTGGTGGTCAAACTGACGTGAATATTAATTTGATTGATTATTAATTCACTGAATTACAATTGTCATGCTGTCAAATTGTAGCAAATCAGATCGCTGGGTGCTAAATTTGAGTGTTTTGAAATTTCCTCAAGAAAACAATAGTAACCAGCGTAGCACATAAGACCTTTGCTGATTTGTTTGTTTGTGAGAAGTCTTCCAGAAACAGACAATTAATTTCCACGGCTCGCCTGTCTCTCATATCTCACCGTAAATGTGGCTGCGCAAACTATAATTGCTCCGCAAAATACGCGGGTTGAGATCTTAGCTATAATGCGGAAGTCTGTTTTTCCCAAATGCTGCGCGCTTTCTTGGTTTTCATTGTAATGTACGCAGCAGTCAGCCGTTGTTTCACGAATATGAGAAATTAATTCTAAGTTCGAGGCATCCTTTATCTCACAGTAAAGAATATTCCATTTTTTAGTCTCATCCTGTTACAAAAGTGCAAACGTTGAAAAAATAGGTTTCGCATACGAAGTAAGAAACATAAGGAAACCTAGAAAAAACCTAACAACCAATCTACTGTTAATATTCATGTCCTTGTAAAATATCTGGTGACATCCTAAACAAGTAAACAAGGAGCTTTCGCATAAGATACTTGAAGAAACTTTGACAAAACTACACAGTCTTTCTACTGTTAATATTCTTGTCCATGTAACATCTAATTCTTGATTAAGTAGAAGGCAAAAAAAACAGTTCAAAGAGGTAAAAGTTCAGTCTCTTGAAGCATCTTCAAGATCGTCATCATCCCTCGTGATGTTCCTGAAAGACATGAAGAATGCAGTGCGTTTACTTAAATATGTTTCTATAGTTTTGAGTTATCAAAACCTTAAATCCGTGTACAAACTTGGTGGTAGTGAAGATGTTCATCTGCAGTTTCGCCGAGGATATCTTGTATTTTGCTTTTGCGAGATGGTTTTCAATTCTTTTCAATCGTTAAGATTTTTGTAATGTTTGCTTTCACTAATGATATAATTACGGCCAAGAAATGCATGACACTTTGGTTAAATAATTCATTGGAATCACTGATTTTCATGGTAATGTGAAATATTTTTTACCCAGGCCATCATAGAGAAAGATGATATGATAAATAACATCCCCACAGAATCAATATACTATTTATCAGAATATAGAGAGAAGAATAGGGGAATTTATCAACTTTTACTGTAAAAGTTTACTTTTCTCCCCCCAAATTCAAACAGCACTCAGATGAATAACACACAAAGTTGTCCTAAACAGATTATAATGGTCATTGTTCTAAGTATACACAGTTATTCTTCATACGAGATTCACCAACCTACAAAGTACTGGTTACAAATGTTACTCTATGCATCTTAATATTGATACATCTAAAATATCCTTCTTGAAAAAGAAATAGAAGATAAAAACTGTGGTGTCAATGGAAGCCTACACATTTCGTGCACTCAAAACATCGAAACAGATCTTTTGCCCATGATTAAGTCGCTTCACATCATTAGAAAGTTCATAGCATGGATCAAATAAAATTGTCATAGGCGCACAGATTTGTACAACAACTTATTTAAGAGTCAAAACAACAAAGATTTTCTACTGTAAAGAAGAAGGCCTCATCTTTCCTTTTGCATCATGTTTCGTGTAACGTTTTTGAGACATTATTTGCGACTTTAGAATAAACATTTAGCAGAATTTCATAAGAGTAAATAATCTTTGTGCATGTAATGTGAATTTTCAATCGAATTTCATTTGCGATGAAACAGATAAGATATAAAGAAGCAGTGGATATAACTGCCACTCATTCCGCCATTTTGAAGCATGTATTATCAAATTAACTATAAACGTTTCCAGAGTTAAAATGATCGATTGTACTTTGGTAAAATTTGGTTTGCAAAGAAGAAATTTTCATAGGATAATACACCGAGTGATTTAAGCCGATGAATACCACGAAAGTTCGTATAACAATTTGCTTAAGTTATCTTTGAGTGAGGCTCTGGGTTGATGCATTCCAAGCGAATATGGTAGAATGAAACCCTTCGACATTAACATTTCTTGTTCAATAAATATCGCACTAGCACGAACTGAAATGGTGTATAGAATCGAAAGCAGCGACGAAATGCCTCCTTCGCGCAAACAAGCCTGTCCAAAAAGAGGAAACTGCGGTGTTATAGCTCGAAACTTTTATGAGACCAGGTTTGAGCGGCAAATGAACACAACAAAAATTACTTGTGGTTTTTAAATAAGCAAACTTCTAACCTTGTCAGATAAAAGGATTCGCCAAAGTAACATTTGAGAAAAAGAAGCACGTTGAATATGCCAGAAATATTTAAAGAAATACGACCGTGGGCATGATGTTATTGAGATACTTCTTCGTCGATGAACTCAAACCATGTGGTTGTCTGAGTCTCGTCCATTGACGCACGAGGTAAAAATTTTCTAGTTTCACACAGAATTTAGATATGTAGCTCAGGCATGTTCGAGTACCGATTTACTTCAGATTTCTAAATGAACGGTGGAATTCGAGAAACTTAGGTGAAGGCCAAAACTGAATAAATTTTTCTCCAACTTGATAACTCGCTCTGACACGTGGCGATCGAAGCTGACCGCCATTTTGAACAAACGAATTGCCTTCGAAGCAGAAAAGGATTTTGCGAGAGAAATTTTGCTTGAAAATTTTAAAAATGAAAAGTTCAAGTAGTAAAGATCTTACTTACCTGTCCACTATTTTTTGGCTTTTTTCTCATCCTCTTTTTGAACCTGTGCATTGTTTCCGCAGGGACAGTTTTGGGTCTGGCTAGGTGTTTTATAAATTGCTTCTTTAGTGTTGGTATTTGGTGTCACGTTGCGCTCATTCTTTTTAGGGGGCATGTTTCTTTCTTTTCACCTTCCTTTTTTTCAGAACTTCTAGCTGCAGGAGCTTTAACAAACGTGTTTAGGGACCACGGAAATACCCAGTTTATCATGAATTATGGGACTCTGTTAACGTGCAGAACTAACTCGCACCATCATGGGCACGTGATTTTTACGATACTTAACCTCTGACCAGCATGATCGCGTCACTAATTTCTTCTAGTGATTCTCATTTTTGAAACATCAATTGTAATTTTCGTAACGCATTTTTTGCTGTGACTTGGTGGTGAAATCTTTGCGGAATCATTCCTGGATGTTTCAGATTAATGCACACTTTTAGAATCGTGATAACATGCTTTTTGCGTAGCTGTTCCCGTTTTTTTTTTCAGAACAGGGCGCGCTATTCGCACACGTTAGACGTGGAGGAAAATTGTCGCCTTGAAACTTCAAAAGCGTGACTTCGTTCACCAGAAACCATGTAGCGAGCAATTTTTTTTAACTCAGGATTACTGTGAAGAACAAAAATTTTAAAATCTGCTTTGTGCTAGCGTTTCGACTATCTTTTGGCAAGAGTACCTTTTGGAATGCCTTTAAATCTTGTTGACGCAAGTTGATGAAGTGACCGCGCTCCAAATTTATGCAACCTCCTGCTAGAAATAGGTATTGTCTCGTCCGTCGCAAAGAATGTTGACCGCTAAAATGAAACTGCTCGGCACTCATGCTTTACAAACGTAATAATCTTTTCGTGAGAGATCTCTCTAGTCAGTTTCGATGAAATTCTTCCATTAAAATGCTACAAAGTTCAATTTAAAGCGATTGGTGGATAGTGGAAGGATCGCATCCGCCATGTTGAACACAGCGATTGAGAGGTTGTGGGAAAAGGAGGGCTTTTGCAAAAATGTTAATCAGTAAGACCTGAAAACTTACCTTGAATCATCGAGCAAAACATATGACTACACGAAACTGCAAAGGTGAAGGAAGCGAACTTTCTTGTTGGTTGCAAGCGTTTCAAAGCCAGTTTCGGAGAACCTTCGCGAAATGAAAGTTTTCATAGTCGTCTTTGCATTTACTAGACTTGGTTGCATGGCGATGGGAGCTAGTGTCCTTTGTCGAGTTTCAAAATACGCATGATTTACCAGGCATGTCAGGGCTTAAGTTAAGGATAGAATAACAAGTCTGCAGTTCCTCGAATGTCAGCTGAAAGCTTCACTGATTGACATAAAGACTATTATAGTACAGCGCGCCGATACTGACGGAATCTTGATTTGACTGATTAACGATGCACAATTCACTGAGTTACAATTTTCATGCTGTCAAATTGTAGCGAATCAGATCGCTGGGTGCTAAATTTAAGTGTTTTGAAATTTCCTTAAGAAAACATTGGTAACCAGTGTAGCACATCAGACCTTTTCCGATTTGTTTATCTTAGAGAAGTCTTCCAGAAATCGACAGTAAATTTCCTTGGCTCGTTTGTCTCATGTTTTACCGCAAATGTGGTTGCGCAAGCTATATGGGCACAGCAAAATACGCGGGTTGAGATCTGAGCTATATTGCAGGAGTCTGTTTTTCCTAAACGCTGGCGCTTACTTGGTTTTCATTAAAAATTTGCGCGGCAGTTGGCCGTTGTTTTACTAACATATGCCCACAGGTATGGTTAGAAATCTTATTACAAGGTTCGTGGTCAATGTAGTAAACCTTGTTTCGCAAATTTTGCTTTGATTTTTAAACGGCGTTTGGTCGGTTAGGATAAAATAACTAATCGATAGATGCGCGCAAGATATCTTAGAACGCATTTGGAGCGTGCTCGACATCAAATGATGTCTGTTTTGCCAACTGAGTTTTAGGCGCTTATAATTCAGCCAATAATACCAAAATTTTTGACAGACAGTGCTTTGATGGTTAGCTTTCCAAAATCATGGAGTTGCGTCATGGAAAAGTCTTGCCTAAAGTGAGGCATTTTTCTAAATTGGAGGCATCCTTTATCTTACAATAAGGAGTATGTCGAGTAAAAACATAGCAAGCCAAATTTTCCTGCACAAAGAAAAAAGTGTTACATTTATTCCTATCCTAGTACAAGAGTGTAAATGTTAAAAAAGAAACTTTCGCTTAGCTAATTAAGAAACATAGGGGAACCTAGAAAAAACTTAAAATACTTGCAGGAACTTAAAAAAACTATACAGTCTTTCTACTGTTAATATTGTTGTTCTTCTGACATCTAATGCTTGATTGCGTAAACAGCAGGGAACAGTTCAAAGAGATAAAAGTTCAGTTCCTTGAAGCATCTTCAAGATCGTCATCAACTCTCTCTGTCCTTTTCTTTCGCGATGTTCCTGAAAGACATGAAGAATGCAGTGTCTTTACTTAAAAATGTTCATATAGCTTTGCGTTATCAAAACCTTAAATCCGCATACAAGCTTTGTGGCAGTGAAGATGATCATCTGCGCTGAGGATATCTTGTATTTTGCTTTTGTTACCTGAGATGGTTTTAAATTCTTTACAATTTTTTAGGATTTTTGTAGAGGATTTGTGCGTTTCAGTTTTCACTAATGATGTAATTACCACCAAGAAAAGCATGCCACTTTGGCTAAACGATTCATTGGAATCACTGATTCTAAGCAATGAATATAAGTGAAGTTTTTGCTTTGTCACCGCTTAAAGCTGCAGTCGGGAAGCGTGTTCTGTTAGCGCGCAATTCTTAGAGGAAATATCTGACTACACAACTTTTACTTAAGGGCCTTTTTTATAGTATAGAAACATCGATAAATGTACAAATGAAGTGGTGGTGAAACTGAAGCTTTGTGGCGCGCAATTTTATGGTGAGTTAGAGCACAAAACGGGACTGAATCACTTTCACTTTTTAAATAGAAACATAAAACCCACCTTATCTACTGAATGGTGCAATGCTCGAGGTAAACTGAAATAAAGATGCAGGGAGAATGTCAGTAGTGCAGTAATGAATGAAAAAAGCAAAACAAATTAGAAAGAGACAGAAGACCTTTTCTTTGTCCTCGAAGGAGGTACACAACTTGTTCCAGCACTTTCAAAGTTTGACCTTTTTTTTGGATGCTCTTCCTCTTGTGCGCTTTATTCTTTGCCCTCTTTCTTTGCTTTCTCTGATAACCATAGTCACGAGAAGAGTTACCCGTTGCCCGTGATTTTCCTGACATTTTGAAGTTTTAAGAAAAATAATCGCGCGCCAACTTCTCTGCCACAAATGTATCTGACAAAGTTTTTTCAACTGACGCGATTTTATGCTCAATTATTAAAATATTCAGAGAAATGCGCGTTCCGTGATTGGTCGGAACGAGTTTATTATAACTCTATAAAGCATGCGGCTTACGTCACACGAGTACATTGTTGAGATATAATGCAAGCAGCCTACGTCATCGGTACGAGCGCGCGCAATTCACGATACATTTTATAAAAAAAATTAAAAAAAAAACTTGTTCCTCGAACATGTTGAGTTCTATAAGCACTTAGGAATTTTCAAGAACACTCGACAAGTACAAGAAGCACTCGCCTTCGGCTCGCACTTCTCCGCACTTCTATTGTGCTCTTAAAAATTCGCGCGTGATTATATAACTTTACAGTGCACTCGGAACGTTTTTTATTTCTGTAATACCGCGTGCATTTGCATTCATTATCAGTTGGGGGCCATAATTTCAAAGTTAACTTAAACGCGCAATTTTTTTGAAACTTATAAAATTGCCAGCATAAGGATTACGTTTTTCTGTAAAATGACAAAGCAGTTTCGATGTTAATTTATATTTACGAAACAAAATGTTCTCTAAAGGCAGCTTTAAAGTTTCAATAGAGAGGCGGGTAGGAAGTAGTCGTGTACGGACTTCCCAGTCGATCGCTGAAAGCTAGGGTGGTTAAAAGTGAGAAATCATAGATTTTCGATTTCCTACTCGCATGATTTTGCGCTAAAGATCTAGAGAGTTGCCGAAAAAGTTAGAGTCACTTTGTTCTAATGCAAAGTATTGTGTGCCAAAATGAGGATTACAAGTATTGATTATGATTCACTTTTGATTTAGAATAGAAATTGATTCAAAAATAGCTCACCATGTATCGTTACGCCGGAGGATGCCATGCACGCTGAAATAGAGAGAGAATTTTTAGAGAAGGAGAGAAAAACAAACGACTTACAGGCGATATAATATACCAACGATTATTTACTGGGAACATTTAGTCTTAAAATAGAGAACAAGCTTGCAAATTTTTTATGTCTTCGATAAATCGGGCAAATCTACCAACAGCTCTAATAGATCTTTTCAGTTTTTTCTTGCATTTATTATCATTTTCGCGGGCAAATTTGTTGTTCCGTTTGATCTTCTAGGCATTTTTAAGGTATGATTCTTAGCGATACAAAGAGAGTACCTCTTGAACTCTTGTTTTCAACAAGAAGGGTCAATCACAACAGCATTATGTGTGATATATTTTTTTCTGCGCTTTCATAACTTCTGCTTATATAATCGACGCCTTCTAAAGCGAAGATCTTTTACGCAATTAGTTTATCTAGCACAGAGATTTTGCACACTCATTGAACTCCTATCCATTTATGTGGAATGCGAAGGAGAGCAACTGATTCTCCCTCTGAGTAGACATATTGCTTTGGCTCTTAGCCCGAACATTGCTATCTAAATTCGAGCAGGGAATATGAATTTCCAATGATATACAATCAACCACAGTCATGTTTTATTGCTTAGCTTCATGAACGGAAAAGAAACGTGCGGTTTAGATGGCTAACAGCTCTTTCAAGTGAGTTGAAATATACCCAGCTTATTTTGGGAATATCCGATTTACAAGAAAAATATAGACAATAGTAAAATGACGATTCATGAATCGTTTTTCAAAAATTGATTAAAACTAACCTTTTATTGACTGCTGCACCAACCTGAAATACAGAGGCAAGAAAGTCAGCTTGGGAGAAGTGAAAAATGCAACGAATCAATATCATGACTAAGTTTGGTATTTACCTTTAGCGCGACTTTTACTGCGACTTTTATTCGCTTGTGGCGCTTTACGTCCAGTTTTTGTTGTTTTTTTTTGAATAGCTCCTTTCTTCTGCTTCTTTTTTCTTGCTTTGTTCCTCTTTTTATAACTCGCATCGCGAGTGGAATTACCACTCGCTCCTGCTTTGGGCATTCTTTCTACAAACTGTTGATGCTTGTCTCCTCAGAGTTCTACAGTGAAACCAAAACTAACCGCCTCACGCTTTTCCATAGTCTTTGCGCGCGCTTTTTCACCCATGTGACTTTGATTGACATTTCAAAACTAATTGTTATGCTCTGTTTTGCCTACAAATATCTTTCTTCTGCGATATCATTGCTGTTTTTTATATGAGTCTGTTTTACTGGAATCACAAAACAACTACCTTCTTTCTATTTTATATGGGAAACTCTGCTGGAGTCGATGTCCATCAATTTGGCCTTCA